AAGTAGGAAGGGATGTTGAATTATAAAATCCAAGACAGGAGGTCTTTGTTGCAAATAATAACCTACATTTCCACTTCAGTGGCCACAAAAATAGCCTGCTGGTTCTAAAACTGTACAATTTGCATGACTATTAAATCATCGTCACATTCTGAGAGTAATAAACAATTCTGACTGTGATTACTTGTATTGGCAAATGTTATCAATTGTTTGCCCCCTGAAATACTGTGTGACTTTACTTGGATCCCATCACTCCTAACGCGTGTGCAAAGATGGCAGTTATCATGAATAAGATCTATTACTTAGTGCACTCTTTCTTTACATTCAATAATGGACTCCAGCGCTGTTTTTAAGTTACCATACCAGTGTTACCAAAACATTCTAAGAAATCACATTTCACATGTACATGGGCAGTGTTTATTTGCATTTCACACACGTAAAGTGTACATTGTGATTGTATCTGCAGATCCAAACAAGAGGAAACCAATTCAGATCATTTGATTGGTCGACTCGATCCCTGGGGTGTGTGGCTAATTAAGAGGGGAAACGATATTGTTTGTGTCAATCAGTACAGGTAAATAATAAATTTTACTTTCAGCTGCTCATTCCAGAATAGTCAGTAATACATGGGTCATGAGTTGTCTAGGACCTTATTGTTGCTATTAAATTCTGCAAATACACTGAGAATATCAAGGGGTGATGCAGTTGTACACTAGCCTCCAATTGTACCGTAAATCATCTATAAAGCCCCACCTCTCAAATTAGCCCCATTCCAACCCCGCCCTCCCCTCGCCTAATTATTCTTCACTAATAAAATAAATTAATGGTAGCCTTTATAAATCAATCACTACTGAAAATATTTGTGTAAACTGATCCGGTATGGTTTATATACCAACTGGAAGTTTGGATTTGATGTTGATCCTCGGCTGCATGACTTCCAACCTTCTTGTACTTGTGCTTTGCCACTTTGTACATTGTATATTCTAGTTCTTTATGGATAATTGATACCATCATCTTTTCTAAATTAAATAAGCCTGCCCCTCTCAAATAAGCCCCTAGTCTCTATTAAGCCCTCCCTTAAATGGGTTTGAAATAAATAAGGCCCCCTGTGGGGCTTAATAGAGGATTTCCGGTATGTAGGTTTGAAAACCAGCAGAAGCAGTGCTTTGTTGCAATGATTTGTTCTTGTTGTTGTTTTTTTTTAGGGGTGTACTCTTTTTGGTTCTAAACTCACTCAAATTACCATTATAAAAAGATTGAAAAGCCTACATTTAAGGCACTAGCCCTTTGTCAGGCCAAAAAAAACTAAAAGACCCACCATGACAAATAGCTAGTGCTTGAAATGCCAACTCCTTCTTTACGGCAGTAAATTGACTTCTACAAATCAAATGATTAAAACATTTGTTTTTTACTACCTTACCGTTGCATGGTCACGGTGTCTTCTGAAAATACAGAATGATTTTTTATCTCTTAGAGTGGTTTTCGTTTGAGTGTCGTAAAACCAAAACCAAAGTAATTACTCTGGCCAATCACGTAGGACACAGACAATACATTGAACCAATCAAAACTCGAAGTAATTACATGTGGCTGACGCAAAGCGCGGGAAAATGCATGCGAGCGCGTCACAATTGGCTTTGGTTTTACTTCTGATTGGATGAAAAGGTGGCGCGAATCTTTTAAGCCAATCGCATCGTGTAGAAAGTGCAAAACCAATTACTTTTCGACACTCAAATGAAAACCGCTCTATCTTATCCTTTCTAGCCCCAGTGTACACCTCAACATTCTCCAGACTGATCTCTATATATTTCCATGAAGAGTTGAGAGAACTAATTTTTAACGCTGTCACTGCCAAAGATCTTGATGGTGTTTTTTTAAGGTGACTCTAACTTTTGAGTCTGCGGTCGAAATCCTATGATGTGACCATTCAAATGAAAGCTCTCTGCCTGTACTTACACATGGTGCTATTTATGTTTCAAAATTGTAATAAAACGAAATTTGCTTTTGACTTAATTTGGCCGAGAAAGGGTTAAAAGATCGAACCTATTGGTGATCATTTATTTTTATTAGTTCTCAGCACAATTTTTCTTGTTGGTGTGATGATATTTTTAGGCGAAAATTGATGTTAGTCACTCTTGGGACGTAAAGGGTTAACAAACACCTCCCCTATACTAGTGCAAAGCTATCATGTTTTATTTTTACTTCAGAATACAAGAACAACTACTTTTTCAACGTCTGATGGAATGTCATTCCCTTCCCAAAGAAATTATGAATCCTACAATTGCTTTAAATGAGAGGTATGCAGAACTGAAAATATACAGCACAAGTATTTATTGCATTAACTAAACTATGCGGAACTCAGATGGTAAAACCAATTTAATTTTGTTGTTGTTGTTGTAGACTGTTCACAGTCCTCTATTTTTCCGTAAGATCATCGAGATCGAGCGCTTTGCGTTACGGGCTGCCATCTTGCATGAGTGTCAAAACTACTTAGGGGGCGGGGATTCCCGACGCCCGCACCCTCCGTACATTTGAAAATCAAGATAGCCGTGACGATAAGACGCGGTATATCTAAACGATCCCACGAAAAAATAGGGGACTGTGAACAGTCTATTGTTGTTGTCGTTATTTTCCTGCCCCATCAACTATGTAGTGCCGCAGTAACTAGCCCTTTATTAGAGACCTTTTAGATTCGAGGACGAGCGGGACTACGAGCTCAAGATTTGAGTTAAAAATTTTTTGCGTATTGTCAAACAATAGACACCCCAAAGTGCTTCATTGCACCTTTTTTCACTTGAAAAGTTGGCATTGTTATCTTTGTTGTAGGAGGTTAAGCCCTCTCTCGTGTGCAAAATAATAAAACTTCTAACATTTGATGACTTGTTTCCGCCACGACGGCATTTTCGCTCAAACTCGTAGTAGAATGACGACTGCTACCACGTGTTCTCGCCATAATGACGCTGGCTCACGTGCGAGCACTACCTAGTATTTAGAAATTCTCGTACTCGTAGTCTAAAGATCTCTATTTATGAAGACTAAAACTATTGCGCATTTCACTAAAAACATTCTGTAAAATGCTACATTTTGTATTTACAGTGTATGTACGATCATGAGTGTTAAAATAGCTTGCGTAGCTGGCAGGATTAGCAGCAAGTACTGTATTCTTTGGCCGTGGAGCCACGAGAAGATTGGGGAAAAGTCAAATTCGCGAGAATTCGCGAAAATCCCTCGCGGCTCCGCTGCTTGCTTTGCATGGCTGCTCAGCTGCCATGAAAGCACTGAAGCTAATAATCCAGCCAGCTACGCAGACGACATTAGTAAGAGAACCAGATAATCTCAGTTCCCACTGCATAAGAAAACCAGTGTAAGTACCCTACTCCCCCACCCCCCCACCCCCCCCCACCACCCCCCCCCCCCCC